GTAACTGGTCCCTCTTTTACCTCTAAATACCCCAAACCCTCTTTTTGTGTCTTCCCTCTCTCATAATCAACCATGTCTTCACCACAATCTGAGTCTCCCAAAGCTACTAATGACATACTTGTTGTGTCTCCGTCTCTCGAAGCATAGCCATCTAGATAAGAGTGTCGGTTCCTGATACGGTGGATGGTGTGTTGTGTCTGGTGTTTGTGAAACTCAATGTGCTCAGGGTTTTGATATGAATATTTCTTCAACATCAGGTAATGCTCCATCATCTCTTACTAATACTGCATTGTTGGGAATTATTGTGGGTAAGATAGGTGAAAATATTTTTTGATTGTTGTTGCTATGGAATGTCTAGTTGGGGATTCATAGTCTGGTGATGTGGGTATTGGGACTCAGGGGGAAGAACGAGGAAATGGGGACCAGGTATGTCAAAGTGACCAAACACCGGTCAGTACTACAGGGGGAGCCAACAGAGGGACATGGTCCCTCTGCCCAAGAGGAGTTCTCAGCTCCTACCTGGGATGAAACTCCAAGCTCTACTAGATAGCCCCTGGGCAGTACTGACCCTTCATATTCTCCTCACCTTGATACAGTCCCTTTGGAGGTTGTGTACTCTGAGATGAAGTCTATGTTTGCGGGAGAATTTGATGATAGTGAGGATGACCTATCTGCAAAAGTTGTTAGGGTTGGTGGTGACGAAGGAGTTGAAAAAGAAGAAGACTGCTGAGAAGAAAAGGCCACTCAGAAAGAGGCTAAGTACATGTGAGGAACCTGGTTCCTCAAAAAGGGCTAGAGTTAATGTGTTTGATCTTAAAAGGAAAACAAAATTGAAAAAGCAGAAAGTTCTGTAGGGGAGAGTTTTTGACACTGACATTATTGATAAGTCTGGAATGCGGCAGTTGGTTGAAATTTGTGACTTCCAAGAGTGGACTCATCACTTTACTGCTCAGAGTCCAAAGGTCTATGAGAAGGAAGTTCACAGTTTCTATGTTGACTTGTTCATAGTGGAATGTGACACCATCTATTTGAAGATTAGTGGGGCAGAATTTGTGATTGATGAGATTGTGCTCGAGGATATTCTTGGGGTGCCTGCTGAAGGGCTCTTAATTGTGGAGGGAACCTGTTCCCCTAGTTTTAGGAAGTTTATTCTCAAGCCTCGAGTTTTTCAACAAGGGGAACGAGTGCACAATAAGGCACTAATTCCAGAATACCAACTCTTGTTCAAGTTGGTGAATAAGGTTTTGCTACCAAGAGATGAAAGTCAATCCATTGCCTCTATAGCGAACCTAGTTCTTTTGGAGGCACTGGACGGCTACACTCCCATCAATCTGCTTGGGATTTTAGTTGAACACATAAAGAAAGTGGTAGACTTTAAGGATGAAAGTCATGGGTTGTCATATGGGTTCCTGCTCACAAAAGTCTTTGAACGATTTGAGGTCCCCTTGGGGAGAGCAGCTGTGGGAACTCGTAAACAAATGTTCTCAATGAACACCTTTAAAGAATGTGAGCATGTTGACAAAAAAGGGGGGAATAAGCAGCAGTTCCACAATCTCTCGGCTTATTAATGCCCAAAATGATGCAAATGAGGAAATTAGGCGGTTAAAAGTGCAGAATATTATTCTTGAGTCTAAGCTCAATCAAGCCAGCAAGGAACCTGGTTCGAGCAATGCTTAGAGAGAAGAAGTTGCCCGCCTAAAATCTAAAAATATGGAGTTGAGGAACCAAGTCGAGAACCTGAAAGAGTAGCTGATCAATGATCAAAGGGTTGTTAATGCCATTGACAGCCTCCTCAAAGCCCTTGCTTCCTAGTCCTTCCCTTCTCCATCCAGTGTCCCCTATCTTACCCCTTTGTCAGCTCCTGTTTATTCTTACCATGTCTTTTTGTTGTCCTTATCTTTCGACTGTGGTACTCTTGTTTTGTTTGACTTTTGTATGTTTGTAATTACGGTACTGCTACAATATTTTTCCCTTAACTTAATGAGCATCGTCGTCTATTAATGCATGTTATACTCTTGCGTTCTGTTTTTAGCTATGTTGTGTGCACACAAGTGGTATGAGTTAACTTTGTTGGACTTCTTTTTGCATTTACTTGGCTAATTCTTTTTTATGATGCCAAAAGGGGGGAGAAAATTGAAAGAGAGAAACAGGTTCTCAAGAGAAATATGGCTATTCTGCAGGGGAACAATATGGAGATCTGATTCTCAGGGGGGAACTTCAATTCTAAGTTTGTCATCATCAAAAAGGGAAAAATATTGATAAGTTATGTGCTTTTGTGTTTTGATGATTTAACAAACTTCATATGAGAACCAAATAGGGAAAGGTTCTCAGGGGGAATATGGATGATTCGTATGGGAAACAATGTGCAGATCTAGTTCTCAAGGGGAATATCAACTCTAAGTTTGTCATCATAAAAAAAGGGAAAAATTGATAAGTTATGTGTCTTTTGTTTTGATGATTTGACAAAATTCATGAGAGAACCAGATAAGGAACCTGAAACAATTAATTCCTTTGCGTTCAGAGTAACTAGTCAGATGTCCGGTTCAACTCTCAATGAAATCAGTTAAGGGAACAACAGAGGGAACTATAGAGGGAACAGATAGAGATCAGTTCCTCTGGTCACAGTATAGGTCAATTCCTTACAGCTGTTAAAGTCGTTGCATTGTTGCACTGCACACGCAATAGTTCAGCTGTCACTTTATGGAGCTTGCCTTGTACTAGATATTTGCTTACATCAATGACCTCATACACATATATTATCAACATGAGGCAAGGGATTTCATTGCTCCAACACTTGCAAATCAAAAGACAATATTCTCTCAAGTGCTAGCCACCATCTCTCGCAAGAACAAAGCTGCTGCAACCTCAAGGACCAGATCCAAAGATTGAAGATATCTTAAGTCCTTAGGTTTGTTGAGTCTTTGTTGTTTGTTCTTCATTTGTAATCCTACACTACTTTCAAGAAGTGTCTTTGTAGGACAGATTTAAACCACTGTTTGGTTTAGTTTCTTGATTAGAGTTAGTCAGTCAAGGTTTATTGCTTTATAATACAGTTATTACAAAGAGGCTTGCAATATAGTTATTGCAAGTAGGTGAGTGATTAAGAGTTTAATACCTAGGTTAAAATAGGTTGTAATCTAAAGTTGCTCGGTTAGTGAAGTTGAAATCCTACGAGTGTAGGTCGTGGTTTTTAATCCCGTGAGCTGGGAGTTTTCTACGTAAAATATTGTTGTGTTATTTACTTACCGTTGTGTGTGTATTATGTAGAAACTGATAGAGAACCAGGTTCTCTATACAGTTTGGTATAGCCTAAGTTTACATCATTTGTGCCTTTGTATATATTAACACCAAATGCTAGGTGTTATATGTTTCGTCATGCTGGAAATGATATATCTTCAAGAAAGAGGACATGATTGACTCAAGCCAAACAAATAAAAGAAGCCAATATAGGGTTGGGCGTGGTGTTCATCTTAATGGCTTTTTTATTTATTTTTTTGAACATTCTGATGGCTATATAGTGAGTTGAATATTGGCTATTCTGAACAATTTTATGTTCACCTAATCATGTGTTATGGTTTATAATATATATTAACATGGAACACTCTTAATTATATTGCTGCTGGTCCTTCAATTGGAACTGAATTTCTGAAACTTTGATGCTGAATCATTAGATTCATTATTACGCCAATTCCAAGATCTGCTGGGAACGAGCCAACTTGACATCCCATAGTACCTCATATTTATAGCATACCACTACCACACAAATATCTTTGAGAGATTGCGATTGAAGGATTTTACAAATTAATTGTCGATTTCTTTTTAAGATTAAGGTGGGGCTTACTTCAAAATTTGAACAACTTAGCTTGTTGTTTACAAAACAAAACAAAACAAAAAGTCAACCAAACACCCGCAACAAGAAGTTTTAAACAATTTCTTTCGCAGCGTTTGGTTGAAAAAGTGATGTTGCAAATAATCAGAAAAATCGTTGGAACTGTTCAAATTTTTGAATATGTGATCTTACACTAAAATGGACGATCATCCACTTTATACGGTAGATCTAATCATTTCGTGTATTAATGGTAATTAAAAATACAAGTTGCTATTACTTATCAACGTACGTAACCAATTAATTAATCCATGCGACAGAGTTTTACTCTAATGGGAACATTAATTTCAGAAAAATAATTATTTGTACCCATCAATGTTTCCTGGGTTGTATTCAATGATACCTCATATACTAGGGATATGACGTAGTGATCACATGTATTGTTACAGTGTTCCACATGGATGCTTCAGTATTATTTGACCCTGGTTCCACTTATTCATATGTGTCATCATACTTTGCTCATTATTTGGATATGCCCCGTGATTCCCTACTTATACATGTCCATATATCTTTGTAGGTGGGTGATTCTATTATTGTAGGCTATGTATATCGGTCGTGTGTGGTGACTATTGGGGGATTAGATACGAGAGTTAATCTTTTACTGCTTAGCATGGTTGATTTTGACGTGATTTTAGGCATGTATTAGTTGTCCCCATCTCACGCTATTTTGGATTGTCACGCTAAGACCGTGACATTGGCGACGTCGGGGTTGCCTAGGGTTGAGTGGAGAGGTCCCCTAGACTATTTTTCCAGTATAGTGATTTCATATTTGAAGGCTCAACGGATGGTTGAGAAGTGATGCCTGCCATATTTGGCCTTTGTGAGGAATGTTAATGTTGATACTCCTACCATTGAGTTAGTTCTGATAGTGAGAGACTTTCCAGATGTGTTTCCTACAGACCTGCCGAGCATGCTACCTAAAAGGGACATTGATTTTGGTATTGATCTGATGTCGGGCACTCAGCCCATCTCTATTCCACTGTATCGCATGGCACAAGTAGAATTGAAAGAATTAAAGGAATAACTTCAAGAGTTGCTTGATAAGGGCTTCATCAGGCCCAGTGTGTCACCTTGGGGTGTGCCAGTTCTATTTATGAAGAAGAAGGATCGTACTATGTGGATATGTATTGATTACGGGCAGTTGAACAAATTTACGATCAAGAATAGGTACCCTTTGCTGTGCATTGATGACTTATTTGATCAGCTTCAGGGTGATAGAGTGTCCTCTAAGATTGATCTGAGGTCTGGGCATCACCAGTTGAAGATTCAGGATTCTGATAATTTGAAGACGGTATTCAGGACCCGCTACGGGTACTACGAGTTTCTTGTAATGTCTTTTGGGCTGACCAATGCCCCAGCAGCCTTCATGCATTTGATGAATAGTGTATTCTATCCATATCTTGATTCGTTCGTCATCGTATTCATTGACGACGTCTTGGTGTACTCTCGCATCCGGGAGGAGCAGCATCTGAGGGCTGCACTCCAGACTTTGAGGGAGAAGAAATTGTATGCTAAATTCTCCAAGTGTGAGTTTTGGCTTGATTTTATGAAGTTCTTGGGGCACGTGGTATTCTATGAGGGGATCAAGGTAGATCCGAAGAAGATTGAGGCAGTTCAGAGTTGGCCTAGACCATCATCAATTATAGAGATTTGGAGTTTCTTAGGTTTGGCCAGATATTATTGTTGTTTTATAGAGGGTTTCTCGTCCATTAATGCACCTTTGACTAGATTGACCCAGAAGTCCCATTCAGGTGGTCTGATGAGTGTAAGGAGAGCTTTTAGAAGCTTAAGACTGTATTGACCACAACTCCAGTTCTAGTTTTACCATCACCATCAAGTTCATATACAATTTATTGTGATACTTTGCAGATTTGCATCGGGTGTGTCTTGATGCATGAGGGTAAGGTGATTGCTTATGCTTCACGTAAGCGGAAGCCCCATGAGAAAAACTGCCCCATTCATGATTTAGAGTTGGCAGCCATTATTCATGCATTGAAGATTTGGAGACACTATCTGTACGACGTGTCTTATGAGGTATTCACAGATCATCGGACTCTACAACACTTGTTTAAGCAGAATTATCTAAACTTGAGGCAGCAGAGGTGGTTAGAGCTATGAAAAGACTATTAAATCACCATTTTGTATCATCCCGAGAAGGCCAATATAGTGGCTGATGCCTTGAGTAGAAAGGCTGTGAATATGGGTAGTTTGCATATATTACAGTTGGTATGATACCGCTAGCATGAGATGTTCAGGCTTTGGACAATCAGTTCGTGAGGTTAGATCTTTCGGAGCCTAGCCGAGTTTTAGCTTGCATGATTTCTCGGTCTTCTTTGTATGAGCACATCAACGCACATCAGTATGACGACCTCATTTGCTGGTCCTTAAGGACACGGTGCAGCACAGCGATGCCAAGGAGGTTTCTATTGGAAATGATGGGGTGTTGAGGATGCAGGGTTGGATTTGTATGTCCAATATAGATGGATTGCATGAGTTGATTCTTGAGGAGGCCCACAGTTCGCGGTATTCCATTACTGCGAAGATGTATCAGGATTTGAGACAGCACTATTAGTGCAGAAGATTTAAGAAAGATATAGTAGAGAATGTGGCTCGGTGCTTGAACTATCAGCAGGTGAAGTACGATCATCAGAAGTCTGGCGGTTTGCTTCAGAAACTTGAGATTCCCTAGTGGAAGTGGGAGCGTGTCACCATGGACTTCGTTATTGGGCTCCCATAGACATTGAAAAAGATTGATGCAGTGTGGGTGATTGTGGTCCGGTTGACTAAGTCTGAACACTTCATTCCGATTGTGACTACCTATTCTTCAGAGCAGCTGGCTTATATCTATATTCGTGAGATTGTTCGTATACATGGTATGTCAGTGTCCATTATTTTTGATCGAGGCATGCAGTTCACATCATAGTTTTAGAGAGCAGTACTACAAGAGTTAGGCACACGATTTTAGTTGAGTACAACATTCCACTTCTAGACGGACGGACAGTTCGAGCGCACCATTTATATCTTGGAGGATATGCTACGCGTTTGTGTTATGGATTTTGAGGGTTCATGGGATCAGTTCTTACTGCTTGCAGAGTTTACCAACAACAAACAACTACCAATCGAGTATTCAGATGGCCCTTTATGAGACCTTATAAGGGAGGCAGTGTCGTTCTCCAGTTGGTTAGTGTAACGACCTGACCGGTCATTTTGAGCTCTAGCGCATCGTTCAGTGGTTTGAGGCCTTATCTTCACTTCATGTATTATGACTTGTACGTGTAGTCGAATTTGAATTTCGGGAAGTTCAGAGTTAATTTGGAAGGAAAATTCTCAATTCAGAAGTTTTAAGATGAAAGAGTTGACCAATATTTGACGTTTGATAAACAACCTCAGAATCAAAACTTGAAGGTTCCAATAGGTTCGTATGATGATTTGGACTTGGGCATATATTCGGGTTGAATATCGGATGGTCTAGGAGTGTTTCAACTCCTAATATGGGAAGTTGGCATCATGCTAACCGAGGAGAATGAGTGATTGTGATTTATGGTTTTATAAAATTGTGGCTTAAAGCTAAGTGGAGGAGCCCACCGTCTACGATTGGGTCACGTAGTTGTGTGCCTTGGAAGTATCAGGTTATCAGTATATTTGTAGATTAGTTATGACCAAGGGAAGAAATATCAAGGGTATTTCGGGCAAGCAATTTGATGTATGTGTGCTACATTTTACCTTATCGATTCATGTGCCGATGTTGCGATGACTCAAAGTTTATGCTTCTTGTGGATGTGATGTGCAAGGAAAATAATTCATATAATTATTTCCTTGGAAGTGTTCATGTGCTAGCAGAGCACTGGAGTTTGGTTATATTCGGGACCAGGTCAAAGTGGCTGACTCTCAATAATGGTTCTAGTGGGTTCAAGAATTTAAGTATGGTGTCTAAGGATTTTGGGTTCGTTATGTGGCTGAGGACTAGGTATTGCCGCAGAGTGTGAAGAATACTCGGGAGATTTCTAGGTTATCATCAGATCAGTGGTGCAGTGTTGGAGGAATGGGAGAAACAACTTTTGATTCATAGAAGATCTTTCAGAATGGGTGTATCAGTTGGAGATATTATTGAGTACACGACGGGGGTATGAGATGGCTTGTGCGTATTGAGACGATGTGGTCTTGTGATTTGGGTCACTCAGGATGAGTGTTGTTTGAGGTCCGTTATGTGTTTGAATAGAACTATTATTTCAAAGGCAAGTCAAGAGTAAATTGGAAGAAGTTGAGTCAGTTAGTAATGGTTTGAATAAGAATGGTTGTGGAAATGATCAGTTCCTTCGGTGTGTTGAGCTATACAGGTGATTCGTGGCTGTACGTACCTACTTGACAGCCACTGTAATTTGATTGATTTGGAGGTAGTTGATTCTGATGGCCTTGTTATGTGTAAATAGATCCCAGAAGAGTTATGGCCGTTTAGACTACGACTTGAGGTTTGCATTTTCTGCGATCAATGGAATTCGATTGTGGATTGCAATTGTTCTTCTGAAATGTGTTGAGTGAAAGGGGTTCTAGCCGATAAAGTATTTATTCTACTGGTGGTTTGAGAGTCATGATGAAATTCTTGTACTCTCGCGTAACAGTATGATAGGTGCAGTGAGTGCTATGGAATAGGGATTGAAAAGTCAAGGTTGCGGTTTTTTTTTGTCGAGGATGTCACGAGTTCAAAGAAGCGGCACAGATTTCAGACTTTTAGAGTATGCTGGCGCTATTTTAGTGTCGCCTGAGAATGGTGTTCTGTGGAAGAGGCATTGTATATTGAATTACAGGTTCATGATTTGCATTACAGAAATAGTATGGTTGGTAGCCATGGATGTGCAGATTTAACTAGCTGGTGTGGAAGGTTGTGGGAGTATATCCCATGGGATTATCGTATGAGTGTTATATGTTAGTCATTTAAGTGTTTGAGATTGAAATCAGGTATGAAGATTCTGGTACTGTCGCTGATTGGAGAGTTTATGTTTGAGAGACGCTTTATTCCTTTGGTTGTGGACTGCGTAAGTTTGTTCCTGATTTGACGGTTGATCGTATGTGTCATGGATATGGTCATTGTGGATCTTTGAAAGGTTATTGACCTATTTTGGGATGACCGAAATCGTCTTTGAGGTCTGTGGGTAGGTCATATGTGAATGTATATTTTATACTAGATTAGATTTTCTTATTCAGCATAGCATTGCTTATGGATGAATCTTCGGGCGTGGGGGATGATATTCCTGCCATAGTCTATTTTAGTGCTACTCTTTTATGCTACGTGGGTTGTGAGACAGCTTGATTATTCACACGTGTGTTGTGGTCCTCTATATCTTGTGGTGTTATATGAGCGAGATGGTTCTCGAGATGTAGGTCATTTATTGCACCTTAGTCATGCTTGGCATTTTGTAGCGCATGGCGCTATCTGTCTCCCCAGGGTTTGGAATTATGCGGTGCATTGTGTGATTTAAGCACGGGTTCATGATAATTTTTTGGAATAGCAAGTTGGGGTTGATACGGTGTTCATGTGTTAGAATCAGACCTGGTAAAGAATTCTAGATGTTGGAATTTGGTTCTAAGGCTTGAGGGCTAAGGTTGCATGAAGGATCTTCAGTCTGGTTTGAGCTGATGTGCTCATATAGGTTGTGGCGGCACAGGCAGGTACGCGTGGTGTCAAACAGTGATTTTGGGGAAACTCCGAAATGGTTCTTGGCACGTTCGAGGACGAACGTATGTTTAAGTGGGGGATAATGTAACGACCCAACCGGTCATTTTGAGCTCTAGTGTGTCGTTCGACAGTTTAAGGCCTTGCGTAGCTTCAATTCATGTATTATGACTTGTACGTGTAGTCGAATTTGAATTTTGGGAAGTTCGGAGTTGATCTGGAAAGAAAATTCTCAATTCGGAAGCTTTAAGTTGAAAGAGTTGACCAAGGTTTGTCTTTTGAGTAAACAACTTCGGAATCAGAAATTGAAGGTTCTAATAGGTTTGTATGATGATTTTGGACTTGGGCATATGTTCGGGTTGAATATCGTATGGTCCGGGGGGCGTTTCGGTGCCTAATGTGGGAAGTTAGCATTTTGAAGGTTTTAGAACTTCCTAAGTTTGATTTGAAATAGACTTTGGTCTTATCGATGTCTGTTTGGGATTCCGAGCCTTGGAATAGGTTCGTATTGTGATTTGTGACTTGTACGTAAAATTTGGCGTCATTCCGGAATGTCTAAGTGGGATTCGGATGTGTTAGGCAAAGCATGAAGGCTTGAAAGTTAAGAGAGTTTAAGAAATTGAGTTTGATCTTTAATTCTTGGTTTTGATGTTGTGATTCGTGTTCCAAGCCTTTGAACAAGTTTACATAGGGTATATAAACTTGTTAAAATGATTGGACGGGGTTCCTCAAACCTCATGTGAGTTTTGGGGTGGTTTCGGGCCACTTTTAGGCCCTTTTGAACTGCTGATATCTGATGCCAGGAGTGTGAATTGCGATCGAGGAGGTCTGGGCCGTGATCACGGAGACCAAATTGCATTCTAGGCCTTGTGTATCGCGATCTCGGAAGGACGGTCGCGATCGCGCAGAAGGAATTTCTGCTATCAGTGCTCTGATTTCGTGAGCCTATATCTTGCAATCTATAAGGAATTTGGGGATGATCCAAAAACAACAGTTGTAGCGCTTTGAATCTAGTTTCCAAAAATCAAACCGTTTGTCATTTGATATTTTGGGCGAAAAATTATGACCATTATACCGAAGGGTGTCTATGAAGAAGAAAACAAAATTTGTACATCGCGATCGCGGGATTATGGCCGCAATCGCAATGAAGAAAATGATGCTGGAACATTTGTTAACCGTGATCGCATGGCTAATGACGACGATCGTGAAGAATGAGGCCTGGAAGGTGTATTTAACATCTAATTTTGGGATTTTCAGCTCATTTCTTCACTTTTAAGTTCTTGGATCACATGTGGGGCGATGTGGGGTGATTCTTGAAGACCATTTTCACCATATATCATACGGTAAGTTATTCCTACTTGTTTCAAGTTAAATACATGGATTATATATAGATTTTAACATGGAATTTGATAGAAATTGTGGAATTTTTGGAAGAAAACCTAGAAATGGTATTTTTTGATTTTGACCACGAAATTGGACATGAAATTAGGAATAAATTATATATTTGAGTCTGTGGTGCTATGGGTAATGTTATCTTCAAATATTTTCGGAATCTGGGAATGTGGGACCGGGGTTGACTTTGTTGACTTTTCGAGCGGAGTTGAGAATTATTATTAATCATGAGTATTGGAGTATATTTTTATTGGTTTGCACGTTGTTTGACTAGTTTCGTATCGATGGGCACCAGCTTGAGGTGTTAGAGAGGAGTTGGAGCCGATTATGGGACTTCGGAGCGAGGTAAGTCTCTTTTCTAACCTTGTGAGGGAGAAACTACCTCGTAGGTATTAAATTATTATGTGCTACTAGTTGTGGGTGCTACATACCCACGAGGTGATGAGAGTCCGTACATAGCTAAAGCATGTTTATGTCCGGGTAGACTTAGGACTTTATCGTACAATATTTGTATTATTTGAATTCAATTTGTTAGTTTAATTACGTGAATTTATAATGGGAATTTATTTGGGATTATGTTAGACTGATCTTCACCACCTTGAGTTGTTTGGCGAGGTACTTGATAGTTGGTAAAAGTTATGTTTACTCTATGCTCATGTTCTTCTTTTGCAAACACGTGGCCCGTAATTCGATAAGTTTATTCTCTTCCTAGGGATCGGGCCGAACGCCTCGGCAGTATATGTATATATGAGATGCATCAATGGATCGGTTCGTACAACCTCGATAATGTATGTACACGACTATATGGATCGGGCCGAATGACCTCGGCATAATTCGTGCATAATAGGAGTCTGAATACCCACGAGATTTTCCCTCTTGATTGAACTTGAAAATTACATGATATCCACGTGTGACTAGAGATTGGACAAATTACTTGACAATTCTTATTTGTTGAGATGACATGTACTATATGGAAATTTTAAATTGATATTTCGTTAGAGGCTCACTTTAATTACTGTTTCTTATTCTATTGATGTTGTTGTATTTCATGTCTACATATAATTTTCATATTATATTTATTGGACCACTAGTAATTGTCAATGTCGACCCCTCCTCACTACTTCTTCGGAGTTAGTCTAGATACTCACTAGGTACGCATTGATTTACGTACTCACGCTACACTTCTGCACTAAACGTGCAGGGTCTGACAGGTTCATATGATGGTCATCCTGGTGCGTAGGCGCAACTGCCGAGGGGATTTATGGTGAGCTGCTTTCTATACTACGCACTGCGGCCCTCAGTGTCTCCATCTTATTTATTTACTTGATCCTGTCTATTTTATATCCCAAACAGATGTTGTATTATTATTGCACTCTTTAGCAGATGCTCATGCACTTGTGACACCGGGTTTTGGGGATGTTCTAGAATTTGTTTATGGTTTTGCTTAACATTGACACACTTTTACTTTATATTTTACTTACATTGTATGTATGTACGATTTTCTAATGCATTAATTTCCTTATCTAATAAGATTCATGATTTCAAGAATAGTAAAATAAGTAATTATGTTGGTAGTTCATTGTTGGCTTGCCTGTCGGTGACATTGGGATTTCAACCTAAGGTTAGGTTTGTTACTTATTGAGTACATGGGGTCGGTTGTACTCATACTACACTTTTGCACCTTGCGTGCAGATTTTGGATGCTGATATCGCTGTGTATGGCGGGATCTGGAATTGAAGATGTACATGCGTTTCGGTCATAGCTGCCTCTTATTCTTGGTAGCTTTAGAATTTTAATCTGTTCATGTATATCTCAAATAAATGATGTATTTTAATTCATACCAGCTTTGTAAATTCTAAATCTTAGAAGCTCATGATTTGTACTACCGGTCCTTGGGAAATGTATAAAGGTTTAGTTATTTTATCATTTATTTGTCTCAATAAATCTCATTAAATTGGATAGTTATTAATTGGCTTACCTAGCGGGTTGGGTTTGGTACCATCACGACTAGTTAGATTTTGGGTCGTGACAAGTTGATATTAGAGCTCTTGGTTCATAGGTTCTATGAGTCATGAGCAAGTGTCTAGTAGAGTCTTGCGGATCAGTATGATGACGTCCATACCTACCTTCGAGAGGCTATAGGGCATTTAGGATAAACTTTCCATCTTTCTTTCCTTATCATACGACATTGATTCAGCTTGAAGCATAACTCTTTGAATTCCTTCCACTCATTCGTATGCGTATGTGAGCGCTCGGTACCAGTTGTGCATCGACGACTTGTGATTCTATGGATGATGTGCGAGATGTGATTTCTGTGTGCTGATGATGGGCCAGTCTGGAGGACTTGAGGCCGGGTTTTGACTGTAGCTTGAGCACATGGATTTCGGTTGTGTGAGCACGTGCTTTTGGACTTATAAGACTGGTAGTGTCCATATGGGTAAAATTTGTGACTCGATGAGTGGTTGGATGGCTATATAATGTGACTGCGAGATGTGTTCAGAAGGTTTGAATGTGACAAGAAGAGTTTGCTTGAGGTGTAGAAAGGACTATTAGGTGCTTGATTTCTGTCTTGATGTGACGTATATTCTCGAGTTATGAATGTATTGGAGGATCTTTCATGTTGTTTATTTGTGGAGCGAAGTAGATTCTCAGGGCTTGTTGATTAGCTAAGACTCAAGAAGATTAGGTGATTATGTAGTAGTTGTGGCTGTGAAAGGGTATAGAGAGATGTCAGTTTGGGGCTAAGCAGGTGAGTTATCACCTGCGGAGTAATCTACAGATGTGTGATCCTTATGATGTTGTGTGGAGGCTTTCTTTTCTACCCGTGGTTATATTTATGCGATTTGAGTTTGGATCAGTTGTAATAGTTGATCTGACCATCACGAGGATGAATGTGAGATTTGCAGATGATTTGAGGTATTAGCTGGTTTGTGTTACATGAGCATATGAAGGATAAAGTTGAAATTTGGTGCGGGATTATGGCAGTAATAGAGTATGGGCATTGTGAGTTATCGAGTGTTTTGATTTTTGGCTCTGAGCTAAGTGGGGGAGTCTTTTATCGATGAGTGGATTGCATGGTTTTGTGTTGTACTGGTTTCTGTTTGAGGCATACTTGTGAATCGGTTATGACTTGCAGAGGTTGGTTTGGAGGATGACTTAAGCAAGGAAATTTCTGGATGCAGGGTGTATTACACTTTATGGGTATATGGGAATCATGAAATGATTGAGTTGTTATTCGTGTATGATATAGTACGCACGGAGTAGGAATTTGCTCGGTTGCATTAAGGCGGGGTTACTTCTTTGAGTGTTGCCGTGCTACTGGGGCACAGATCGTTCGGCCCGTTTGGGTGGTGCAATTCAGATTTGAATAGAGTGGGTGACTCTCGAGATGGTTCTAATGGATTCAAGATTTATATGTAGCAATTGAGAATTTTTCTAGATTTGTATATGGCTAGGATCTGAGATTTACATTGGATGTTGTCGAGACTCGCGGTATTTCTATATCATTATGGATTCTACATTTCAGTATCAGGGAGGTAAAGGAAATAATTTTAGGTTCACATAAGGTCTCTTCAGATTGGGTATCTTGATTTTGGTACTTTGGGGGTGCTAAGAGGGAATACATGGGCTTATGGGCCTTAGGGCAGTGTGGTTTTTATACTAGGATCTCTTATGGTGAGCTTTGGGGTAAGGATCGTGGTGTTCTCGCAAGGAGAAGTATCAACTTGAGGGTAATTTGGAAGGAACTCGGAGAAATAGGACAACTAGGTGGTAGGTTAGATCAGCACGACAATGGATATGATCGGTTCTTTGGGTACTTATGATATAGTAAGCTTCTATAGGTATTTTGTGGCAATACTCTTGGGCTTGGAAACCTGCGTGGCTTGGTTGAGTTAGAGAAATTCAGTTCTTATGGCGTAGTTATGTGAAAATGGGTTTTGAAGAATCCTTGATGATTTCTTCCACGGTTTGAGATGGATATTTCCTACCGGCATGAGGAGCATGTTATTTATTGTGGTTTTTTTTCTCCTGGATGGGATCAAATGGAAGATTTATGATTGATCGGGTATGTGTTCTACTGCTATCTCAGAGTTAATTATGAAATTCTTGTGCATTTCATAGGATGGTATGATAGATGCGGTGTGTTGTGTGGGGTTGAGATTTGCATGTGCAAGGTCGCGGTTCATATTTGAAGAGAAGGTCATGAATTTCTTTTTGACAACATAGACAATTTCAGATGACTAGATGAATGTTATTACTACTTGGTATTGCCTGAGAAGGGTGCGCATTTCAGAAGGTGCACTGTGTTTTGACTTACGGATGCTTCATTGGTATTGCGGTACTCGCCAGATTTTGCTATGTGGCACAGAAGAATTATAGAAGTATTCCTCTTGGGATGATCCTGTATGAGAGATGTGTTAGATATTCAGGCAGTGGAGTTGGGATCAGATATAGTGATTCGTGTGTTTTATGGATTTGGAGACTGGGAGTTCTCAGAAGCAGGTTGTTTCGTGGTTGTGGACTGTGAAGATGTGGCCAAAGCTAGCCAGATGGCAGTATGTGTTATGGTTAGGTCATTGTGGACTTTCAGAGGGTTAATTATCTATTTGTGGATGACCAGGGTTGATTTGGGGGCTCATTGGTAGGCCTAATGAAGATGTGTATTCTACACCGGGTCGGATTGGTTGACTACGTACTGCTATTGTTGATGGTTGTGCCATTCGGTTAGAATTGATCTCATTCGTATCTGGTATGTTCTATGTGTTACTCTTCTATACTACGAGGGGTGGTGATTTGTTGGTTATATGCACCCCCAATACGGT